AGGGTTTCTCTGTGGCTTTGGAGGCTGTCCTGGAACTAGCTCTTGTTTTGTTTTGTTTTTCGAGACAGGGTTTCTCTGTATTGTTTTGGAAGCTGTCCTGGAACTCACTCTGTAGGCCAAGCTGGCCTCGAATTCACAGAGATCTGCCTGCCTCTGCCTCTTGAGTGCTTCGATCAAAGGTTTGTGGCACCACTGCCAGGCGGCACCTTCCATTTTTCTGAGTTCCTGGGATTGAATTTTGAACTTCTGCCACTAAGCTTTCATAGCAAGTTCACTCAATTTTCTCACTAAATCTCTGCTATGTTTTGAGACAGGGTCTCATTCACTGCTTCATTTCCCCAGGCTAATGGGCTCACAACCTGCGGGAGATTGTCTCCTCCCTTGTCAATGTAATAGTGCTAGGATTACAGATTTGTACTATGGTGTTCAGCTGTGGGTTCTGGAGACCTGAGCTTAGGTCCTCATGCTTGTGCCTGCTGAGCCCTCTCCACTTTTTCTATTCTTGTTTGTTTGTTTGTTTTTGTTTTTCGAAACAGGGTTTCTCTGTGGCTTTGGAGGCTGTCCTGGAACTAGCTCTTGTAGACCAGGGTGGTCTCAAACTCACAGTCCCAAGTGCTGGGATTAAAAGCGTGTGCCACCAATGCCTGGCTCTTTTTCTATTTTTTATTTTATTTTGTTTTTTGGAGACAGGGTTTCTCTGTGGCTTTGGGGGCTGTCCTTTTTTATTTTATTTTTAATTTTTAAGAAAGGATCTTTCTAAGCCGGGCATTGGTGACGCACACTCGGGAGGCAGATGGATCTCTGTGAGTTCGAGACCAGCCTGGTCTACAAGAGCTAGTTCCAGGACAGCCTCCAAAGCCACAGAGAAACCCTGTCTCGAAAGAAAAAAATAAAAGAAAGAAAAAAAGAAGAAAGGATCTTTATATTCCTGGCTGTCCCAGAACTCACTCTGTAGGCCAGGCTGGCCTTGAATTTACAGAGATCAGCCTGCCTCTGCATCCTGAGTGTTGGGATTAAGGTGAAAGAGAGTGCATGGTGACATGCATCCTTTTTTCTTTTTTTGGTACTGGGGCTCACTGTGTACCTCACAGACATCCTGATTGTGCTTAATTCCTAGGCAAGTCTCTGCTCAATTAAGCTGAGAGGAGGATTAACCATCATTGGCTTGCTAGGAAGCCTCTCACACACAGCCATTTTAATCCCTATCACCACCTAAGTCCTCCCCCAACAGCAGGGAGGACCAAGGTTATGGCCACAAAGCATGACAAGAAAAGCCACCCAGATGATGACAATCAGGAAACAAGGCTCAAAGTCAAATCACTTAAAACTATGGGAGCCGAAGCTCAGATGGTAGAGTGCAAATATGAGGGCTGGAGTACACATCCCCAGCTTCCAGATGAAAAAGCTGAGTGTGAAGCCAGGGTAATATCAAACTTCAGAGGCAGAAACAGATGGATCAACATATGTGGTGCATATACATATATACAGGCTAAACACTCATACATTTAAAATTAAAAAGTTGGACCTGGCAACCCTTATCTGTGTCCCTAGAGCATTGTGAGTGGAGACAGGCAGATTCCCAGAGCTCACTGTCCAGCCACTCTAGCCAATCAGAGAATGGGTGAACAGCATGTTCAGTGAGAGACCTTGTCTCAAAAGATAAGGTGGAAAGTGGCTGAGAATACAATTCAGTTGATTTGTCTTCCAAGTATAAGGCCCTGTGCTGGATGGATCCCCAGAACCACCAAAACCAAACAAACAGGAAAAAGATAAGGCGTGCACTAGAGGAAGAGGCCCAGTCTTACCCTCTGGTCTTCACACACATACACTGTACGCACAGGTGCACATACACAAAAGCAGCCTCAAGACAGAGCTGGGGGGGGGGAGGTGTACATTCCCTTTACCTACAAGGATTTATCCAGCATAGTTCAGAAATACTTTCAAGGATGTGAATTCTGAGGACACTTTGGGGAAGTGCTTCCCCAAAACAGGGTCCAGCAATGATTGGTACATCAAAAT